AAGATGAAGGAGCTTATGAAGGCCCAAATGAAGATGCCCAAATTTTTTATAATTTAGTTGATGAGGCAAGCCAAGAACTATATCTAGGTTGTAAAGGTTTCTCTAAATTATCATTCACAATTCGTTTATACTTGTTGAATTGTCTCCATGGATGGAGCAATGCTTCTTTTACTTCTCTCTTGCAGTTATTGAAAGAAGCGATTCCTGAGTTGAACATTCCTGAATCTTACAATAAAGCCAAGGCCGTGGTAAGGGATTTAGGTCTTGACTATAAAAAGATTGATGCTTGTCCTAATGATTGTATGTTATTTAGAGGTGACTATAAAGATGACGAGTATTGCCATGTTTGTGGAGCTTCTCGATTTGTTGAACATCCTGAAGTAGATAGTGAGCTTGACTCTTCTAAGAAACCTCATCGTGTTCCTATTAAAATTTTGAGACACTTTTCGTTGATTCCTAGACTCAAAAGGCTATTTATGAGCTCAAAAACAGCAGAATCATTAAGATGGCATGACGAGCAACGTTCTAAAAATGGAAAGTTAAGGCATCCTGCTGATGGACAAGCATGGAAAGAATTTGATAACATGCATCAAGAATTTGCAAAAGACTCGTAATTTGAGACTTGGCTTAGCAAGTGATGGATTCAATCCATTTCGAACCATGAGCATATCTCACAGCACATGGCCAGTTATGTCAATGGTGTATTTACCTCCATGGATGTGCATGAAATCATAATAACTTATGCTTTCTTTGCTTATACCTGGACCGGGATCACCTGGAAATGACATTGACATTTATCTACAACCATTAATAGAAGAGTTGAAGGAGTTGTGGGAGTTCGGGGTAGAAACATATAATGCTTCAAGAAATTAAACTTTTCAAATGCGAGCAGCTCTTTTGTGGACAATACATGACTTTCCTGCATATGCTATGTTGTCCTGTTGGAGTACAAAAGGAAAGTTGTCTTGCCCTTGTTGTAATTATGGCACTAACTCGTTCTATCTAAAGCATAGTTGAAAAATGTGTTATATGAGCCATCGTGTTTTTCTACATATGGATCATCCGTGGAGACCTGACAAAAAGTCTTTTAACGGAAAGACAGAATTCAGGTCTCCTCCTCCTTTATTGCAGGGAATAGATCTGCTTAATAGCCTACAAAATGTTGAAAATGTATTTGGAAAAGTGCAAAAGAAATCAAATAACGGCCCATGGAAGAAATGATCAATCTTTTTTGAATTGCCGTACTGGCAACACAATTTGCTGCGTCATAACCTTGATGTAATGCACATAGAGAAGAATATAGTTGATAGTATAATTGGAACACTTTTGGATATTTCTGGCAAGACAAAGGATCATCCAAATGCTCGTTATGACCTCAAAGAGATGGGCATTAGGAAGAGCCTTCAACCAAAAGATACAAAGGATGGTAGGAAAGTAAAGCTTCCAACAACGTGCTTTTCAATGTCTAAGGGAGAAGAATCTATTTTGTGGTGTTCTCAAAAAGGCAAAGTTGCCTGACGATAGTGCTTCTAATACTTCTGGATGTGTGAAGCTAGCAGAAAGAAAAATATCTAATTATAAGACTCATGATGCACATTTGATGTTACATTACTTGCTGCCTATACCTATTAAAAGCATATTTCGTGATCATGTTGTTATTCCTTTGATTTGTCTAAGTTCCTTCTTTCGTTGTTTATGTCAAAAAGTTATCACATTGGAAGAACTGGATCGTTTAGAACTAGAAATTAAAGAAACATTGTGTCAGTTGGAGCGAATTTTCCCCTAGCTTTTTTGATATAATGATTCATTTGTCTGTTCATTTGGCGAATGAGGTAAGATTAGGAGGTCCTGTACAACTTCGATGGATGTACTCTCTGGAAAGAGAAATGGGCACTTTTAAGTCATATGTTTGTAACAGAAGGTATCCAGAAAGATGTATTGTAGAGGCACGTCGGGTTACAGATTGTTTGAATTCATGCTCTAGATATTTTCATGAGGGTGTACAAACCAAATTTAACAGAAGACCCCGAAATGATGATGAGTGTGGATCACCAGATGTGCAAACTTCTAACTTGTTTCCTAATAGAGGTTGTCCACTAGGTGGAAAAAATGGTGAGCCAACCTTTCTTGATAACAAGTCACGACATCAAGCACATGGATATATACTGAAAATTGTGATGAAGTTCTAGAATATATTTGGTAAATTGATTCACTAGTATTATATCATTTATTGTATGTACTTCTTAAATTATTTTACTCATCTGATTGCTAACAAATAACAATATTTGTTTTGTAGAGAGCATGAACTTGAGGTTAGTAATCAGGGAAAATGATCTAAATGGAGTAAGGCCAAAAATCATAGTCAAAGCTTCTCTCAATGGTTTGAAGCTCGTGTTATGCATGAGGATGTGTCAGATTTGATAAAACAGTTATTGAGAGGACCCAATTCAGTTGCTAAAAGATATACAGGGTATATTATAAATGGGTATAGATTTCATACAAGGCGACGTGAAGCAAAGCGTAAAACACAAAATAGTGGTGTTACATTAGTTGCTTTATCTACGAGTTTTGCAAGCTCTAAGGATAAAAATCAATTGATGCAAATCTAACTTATTATGGTAAAATAGTGATATCCTTGAGTTGGATTACTATAACCATTTTAAAGCTTGTCCTATTTAAGTGTGAATGGTATGAGGCTAAAGAGGATATTTATGGCTTTACTTATGTCTACTTCAACAAAAGGTGCTCTCAGGAAGAGCCTTTTATATTAACATCTCAAGCTCATCAATGTTTTTATGTGAAGGATCCATATGATGATGATAAGCATTATGTTATGAAAATAGTCCCAAGAGACTTATTTAGTATGAGTGATGAAGCCGAATCTGATGTCCCCCAAAGTTATATAAATGAGCCATATGACCATTCAATGGCCCTTCTATACCTGAAGATAATAGTGAAGTTGACTTAGTGAGGTGTGATATACCAGCCACAGTTATTAAGGTGTATCCACGCGAATTTGTTGCTGAAGAACCTGAACATGAATCTGAGGATAGGATGAATTTGATATTGAGGATACATCATAAGTCTTTCTTTTATTCTACAATTTAACTCTGCCTTACATAGTTAGCTTTAAGTCTTTGGAATTAGGAGTTAAAAATGGTTCAATTTACAAAGTTTTTAAGTTTTTACGTTTTATAGCTGTCACTTTGTTTTCTAATTCTCCAATAAAGTTATCACTGATTGGCTTCTTGGTCTGAGAAATCTTTGAAGGTATACAACATTTTATCTTGTTTGCACTATATTTCTGCATTTCTACATTGTTTTATCTTTTTGCACTATATTTTGCATTTCTGCATTGTTGCACTATCTTTAATTTCTACACTATGTTTCTTTATTTTCTGCTCTGTATTTTTATATTTTCTGCAAATTTTTCACTGCAATTTTGTATTTTCTGCAGCGTCTTATATTTTTTGCACTATATTTCTGAATTTCTGCACTATATTTCTGCATCACTGCATTATCTTTAATTTTCTGCACTATGTTTCTTTTTTTTTGCTCTGTATTTTTACATTTTCTGCACACTTTGCACTGTGGTTTTGTATTTTCTGCATTGTTTTATATTTTATGCACTATATTTCTGCATTTCTGCACTATATTTCTGTATTTTTGCATTGCTGCACTACCTTTTAATTTTCTGCACTATATTTTCACTGCATTTTTATATGTTCTGTACTAAATTCTTATTAGTTGCTATACTAACTATTATTTTTATATGAAGAATGAATCAAGGAGCAGCCTTTAAAGAAAAAGGTTCTGAATTCTAACAACGGTTCAAGTCCAATAAAGAATGTAAGTTTTGATTATCAATTTCGATCAAGTGCTAAGCTGCGCAAACAATTTCAAATTAAGAAGGAAAAACTTGACAATGAACGCAAGAATCTAGTTATGAAAGGAAAAAATTCCGATCAGCCACCACCTTATAAAAGGAAGAATTGTATGTCTGTTACATCAAATGCAAGTGAAAGACAACCTATGCAGAGATCAATTCAGTTTGAGGAGTCAATTCAAATGCAAGAGAGGAGTAAACTACCTATACATAAATCTGTGACCCAACTTTTATCAAGGAAAGAAGTTAACACTTCCCATATGACTGAAAGAACACAAGGTGAAGAAGAAAATCAATTTGATATTGAGGAGCTACAAAATTACAAAAAAGCTAAGAAAAAGTCACTTGTACCAGTGATGAGTCTTAATCATTTTCTAGAAAAAAATGGGATACATGTGGGTGAAGAAAAACCTTATATTCAGCCAGCAGATGATGTTAGATCTATGCCATCTCCATGTATTAATGAAAACAATATCGAAGTGGCTGATGGTGTTGTGCCAGAAGAAGTTGATGAGTGTGTTCGAGATAAAGATATGGACATAAATTGTTCAAAAGATGGTATGTTTTAAATCTTCTTTTGATAGTTATATAAGTTTACTCGCATTGTAAATTTTATAGTTGTATAGTATGTTTTATCTTATTTATTTAATATAACATTTAATCATGAACTTTGGAGAAGAAAAAGGTTCGAGGACACACAACATGTAAGACTATTCATGCAAGAAATTTTTAAGAAAGAGAGGAGGTGACATTTGATCATGGACAAGTTGTCGGACCAATTGGAAAAAAAGTGTCTGATTTGAGCAATTTTCTAGGAACAATTGCTAGGAACTCTAGATTCATCACCTTGTTGTATACTGGTTGGCCTGATGTGCCAAAAGATACTAAACTACGCATGTGGGAATGTGTCAATGTAAAAATACTCAACCTTTTATGTATCTGTTTTTTATGTGTATTTTACTAGTAACATTTAGGTTATTTGTGTAGACCAAGTTTATAATTCCAGCAGAAGAAGAAAAATTGGTGATGGATGGTCTTTGTTATGCTTGGAGGCGAAATAAGAGATATGTTAAGGAGAATTATTTTGATAAGTATAAAACACTGGAAGATAGGCTAAAAAATTGTCCTAGTTGGATACCAGAAGTTCAATTTCGCCAGTTGATAGAGTATTGGGAGCTTCCAACTGTTAAAGTGAGATACAAATAATGCATTTAATTATTTAGCCCATATATATTAATTACTTTTTCTTAAATTACAGGCCATGTGTTCTTTAAATTCTCAAAACAGAAAGAAACAAAAATGAAGGCATCGAATGGGGCCTGTTAATTTTGGAAGAGTACGCATGGCACTGGTATCATTTTAGACACTTTGTAGATAAATATTTTTTTATCTTTTATATTTTGTTAGATTACATGTTAGTTGCTTATAGTTTTTTACTTTTTTTGTAGCGTGCAACCAAAGAGAATAATGAGGAACCATCAAAGGCTGAAATGTTTATTGCAACTCGTACGAAGAATGGAAAACAAGTTGATCCTGAAACTGAAGTTGTAATAGTAAGTAATTCTTTTGGCCGTTAATTGCTTTTCAAAGCCCTTGACTTTTCAACTAAGTAATCATGTATGTACAGTAATTTCAATGTGTTGTTTCTTTCCTGCTTATGACAATATTCATGACCTTAATTTAAGGCAGTGTTTGACTTTTGGCTCTCATCTTGCTTTATCAAGACAATTGCTAATGCATTATTTATAGGCTGAACTTCAAAATCGTCAAAACTTGGGGGAAACAACAGATGACTCATTTAAGGCAGTGTTTGGAAATGAGCAGCCTGATCGAGTTCGATGCTATGGTAGATCTGTGACAAGAACTTCTTTAAAAAGAGATGAGGAAATCATCAAAATCAAACAAAAACATGCTGATGAAATCAATTCATTTAAGGAAGAAGTTAAAGAATTGAAGGAAGAACTGGTTGAATTGAGAAAGTTGGAAGGATTGAAGGAAGAAGTGCAAGAATTGCAACAACTGCGACATCTCATGAAATTGTTGGTAAAATATAATCCTGGACCAAACCTTGAGGATGCAGAAGGGTTTATCGAATCTAACCAACCATCTCCGGGTGATTCTAGTAGTGCACGGGCTACAAGAGGCGAAAATCTTCCACGTTCCTCTGGATCAACTCATGGCCCGACTCTTGGAAAGGTATTATCGGTTTGAGTATATTTAGGTACAAAATACTAAGATATGTACAATATTTTTCATTTATGCAGCGTTCTTATTTTCTGCATTATGTTTCTTCAAGTTTGTTCTATATTTCTGCATTTCTGTAATCAATACCACATTTTTCTGCATTTGTGTGCTGCATTTTAGCATTATTTTCATGTGTTTCTGCATATCTATGATTTACTGCCTCCCACATCATAACGAGATTGTAGATTAATATTATATTTTTGCATAATTGCAGTTTCACATATTATTGAATTATAGTTTTACATTTTCTAAGTATACTTACTTCCTATCTAATCAAGTTTCAATTTCACTTTGAACCTGTAGGAAACTTATGGCGATGCAATTGGAAATGGTGGCCGAAAGTTGAGTTGATTCGGTTGACCAATTTTATCCATTTATGATTTAATATTATTCATTATACTACATGAATAGTTTGGATGTTTTAAATTTTATTAAAAGTACTATAGCACACTTTGAAGTAGTTTGCATTACTAACTGTTGATGTTGAATATTAGAATATTTCAAAGTTTTTGTATTGTGAAGATATTTTTGGTTCTCTATTATTTAATGTGATGCTTTATATTTATTATTTAAAAAGTGGTTTCAAGATACATATTATAATAATAATTTTTTAAAAAAATATTGTTCTTATATTTTTAATTTTTAATTAGAAAGTTGTGGCTTAGCTTGTATAAATGTGGCCACATAGATATATGCATAACTACCTTTACCAACATTTTTATAGTGTGGCTGAATGTTGAGAAACAAGCAATGAGTTTAAAGTGTTGCCTATAAAGAATGAAATGTGACACTTCAAAAGTGTTGTTTTAAAGCATAAAAGTGTGCCCGTAGATGGTATACAGAAGCATTGTCATAGGTGAATGCAAAGGCAACGCTTCTTGTATGTCGTAGCCTTTTCCTCTTAAAAGTGTTGCCTTAGGGAAAAGGTTACGCTTGTTTAGGCCACCCCCTTAAAAGCGTTGCCATTGGTAAAAAAGTGTGGCCTTTGATCAAAGGCAACATCTATTTATAGTTTAGGCCACATTTTCAATTGTGGTTGGAGGGCAAATTTGTTCTAGTGATCCCTTCACCCTTAATACTCATGAGATGTGGTTGGTTTGAATAGCCAACTTAGGACAAAAGCCTAAGTTGAGGGTGTGGTGAAAAGAGAAGGTAAATCAAGAAATGCAAAGAAGTCCCTCTTGATCTATGGTTGCGAAAAAGATGGAACCCCTCAATAAAAAAAGAGAAAGAGAAAAAGAAAAAGGATGAAAAAGTTTTGAAATAAAGTTGCATAAAGAAATTGGGTGTCCAAAGTTTCATGGAAAAGGAATAATGGGGTGACTAATGAGCATAAATAAGAATGAAAGAGGTGAAGGAAAGGAAGTGTTGTTCACACCACATTTCATGAGGATAGCAGCCATTGAGTCTAAATGACCATACATTTACACTCAGCCCCGTTACAAGCCCTGAAAAGACCTTTTTGATCTTGAGTGAGCTGAAACAAATGTTGATTGGAAAATAAGGGCAAACCTATGGGTGAAATCATGCATTGTATTCATCTTTGTGAGTGTGAGTGTTGATTGTGATTTCGAAGCTATTAATTGTTGAACCTTAGTGTGTGAATATGGAATCATCTTTGTGTGAGGGCATTTGAGTACCTTTGTTGAGCTTGAACTTGCATTTGAAGCAAGTATTGTGAACTTGAGAATCTTTGATAACGGTGAGTCATAACTTGAATCTTTGAGTGCACAATTGATCCTTGCATGAGTAAGTTGAGTCTTGTTGTGTGCATTCATGATTGACTCTTGTGTAGCACTGTTTGAGGCATCCTTTTTGAACTGTTGAACTTGAGGACAAGCAAAAGTTTAAGTTGGGGGTGTTGATGAGTCCACGATTTGGACTCATTTAGGGCTTTATTTGGATATATTTTTTGTCCTCAAATTCTAGTTTTGTGCCAATAACTGATGTAAAACCCTTGATTTCCAAGTGTTTGGATTGAGGAACAAAACATGGACACTAATTTGCAAAAAGTAACAAAGTGAGCTGAAAGAACGAAGAAATGAAGGCCTGGTGATCGCCGAGTCCCTTTGGCGACTCGCATAACCATTACCTCACCTAAAGTTCTAGTGTGCCATGCCCTGAAGGAGAAAATCAAGTTGGCGAGAGAGAGGAGCAGTCGTCGAATCGCCGAATGGTTCCGCGATGCAATGTTGGATCTCCTAAAGTTACAGAACTTAAGGATGCTGAAGGCCAAAGCAAAAAGGCGATGGAACTGACCAAAGGGCGGATCGCTGCCTGTTCGGTGAGCCCGACTTACTACGCCCATTGGTCCTTCGCAACATATTTTTGGCGACTATTAATACATTTACAAACATTATGTTTAGTATCAAAATTTTTTCTGAACATTCATTAGAGTAATTTTTGAGTTTTGAACTCTGAGTTGTTTAGACAACTTTTCCTTAGCTTTGAAGAATTGAAGTTTTCCATTTTTGAGAAATTAGAAGTGGGTCTTTGAGATTCTTCAACTTGGACCTTTGTAAAGATGAAATTAATCTTACCTAGTTGATGGAAACACAATTTGGTAACGATTTCTGTCTTTTTATGATATCTAGCTAAAACCCCGATTCTTTGGGTGTGATTATGTGATTATGGGTTGATTTAGCTTGTGGGTATTGCTAATTGTTAGTTTAAATGCTGTTTAGAAGTGATTTCATTCATTAATTGTGGTTTAATTTAAAGGGTTGTAGTTGCAAATACAATTATACCTTCGTGTTTTTGGCTTGCTCGAGAGAGAGGTTTTAAAACTAAGATTATTGAATAGATGGTCTATGGGTATTGGGCTGTCATGGGTTCAACTCGAGAGAGTGAATCCTAAACCCTTTTCTACACATTCAGCTCGAGAGAGTAAATGGACTAAAGCGAAGGTTGTTCTTATTTGCTTGTTTGTTGGTGTTCAAGAGAAACCAACTTGATTCGGGGTAAATTGTTCGAGAGAAAGTTTATCCCCACTAAAGTCTAGCTTAGTCACTGATTTACAACTATTTACTAACAGTTGCAATCACCCATTTGTCTATTGATGAGTCCACAAATTGGACTCATTTAGGGCTATATTTTAATAGAAATTGTGTCCTCAAATGGTTAGTTTATCTCAATATCTGATGAAAAGCCTTAAGTTTCAGGTATGTGAAGTTTTTAGGAAAGCATGGACACTACATCGCAATAAAAGAACGAAAAGGTTGAAAAGAACGAAGAAATGAAGGCCTGAGGATCGCCAAGTCAACTTGGCGAGTCGCCGAAGGGTCTCACTTCGCCTTTTGTTCCAGTGTGCTGAGCCTTGAAGGAAAGGATCAAGTTGGCGGAAAAAAGGAGCAATCGGCGCATCGCCGAGAAGTTCTGCGAAGCAGTACTATGTCGCCCAATGACCCAGAGCACGACGATGTTGAAGAATGGTGCAAAACAGCGATGAACTACACCAAAGGGCGAATCACCGAGTTGATCGGCGATTCCGACTAACCTCGCCGAACGATCCGCTGCAGCACATATTTTTTGAAAACTATAAATACGTATTGTGAGTTATAGCTTAGTATCAGATTTTTAGTGTGAGAAACAATTAATATAATTTTAGTACTTTTTATTTTTGTTTTGAGTCTGAGGGTTTTGAAAACTTGAAGAAGAAGAGGGTTTCATCTCCAAGGATTTGGACTTGAGTCTCTTGATTTCTTCATTCTTTGCCTGTAACAAGACTTAAATCTTCATACCCATTTGAATGCAAGCTCATTTAGGTATAAATTTATATATCTTAATGTGTGGCTAAAAACCCCCATTCTTGGGGTGTGATTTAGCGAATATGGGTTAATATTGTTGTTGGGTCTTGCTTGTTGATAGATTAGATGTAGTTTAATGGTGATTTCACCTAGTAGTTGTGGTTGGATTTAATGGGTTTGTAGTTGCAAATACAAGTCCACCCATGTGTTTTTGGCTTGCTCGAGAGAGAGGTCGTTAAACCAAGACTGCTAGACTAATGGCCTAAGGAGTGGGTCGGCATGATGCTCAGCCCGAGAGGGTGAGCCCTAGTCCCATATCCTAACACTCAGCTCGAGAGAGTGAGTGGGCTAAGGCGTAGGCTGGTCTTCATGCGCAAGTGGGTGTCCGAGGGGAACCCATTTGAAACGGGGTAAGTTGTTCGAGAGAGAATTTATTCCCACGTATAGCTTAGCCTAGTCATTATTACTCTATAAATTCTCTATCGAAAGTATGTACCGAATAATTTAGATTAACCTGTATTCCGGTCACATCCCAAGA